ATATTTATATATAAATTTGCTTTTTCTGTAAATTTTAAACATTTAAACGTAGCTTTGCAAGATTTGCAATGGGTAAAACTCGTGGGATTCTCACGGGATACCCGGCGGGCATACCCATATGGGCCCCAGAAGAAAACTGCGGCCAAGATCCGGCGGGTTCCCGATGGGTTTCCCATATGGGTCCCATTTGAAAACCCATATGGGTCCCTTACGGTTTTAAAGTACGGGATTTGACTGGGACCCATACGGGATACCCGGCGGGCTAACCCATATGGGTCCTATATGGAAACCGCGGTCATGATCCGGCGGGAAACCGTTGGGCTTCCCATACGGGACCCAGTTGACGACCCGTATGGGCCCCGTACGGTACCCGTATCTCAATGTTGGCTGGGATAGTTGAACATTTTATAAATGTGCTTCTTTTTACTTTCATTACATAATAATAATGTCATTTTCAAGGAATAGTTATATAAAAATAGTTATCTTTTACTTTTACACAACTTTTTGTAAGTAGTTAATGGAGAATTTACAATAATTAGTAGATAGTTAGGCATTTAAAATATGTCTATTAAACTAATAGCTACTTGTTCAAGCAACATGTTCTTTATAAATGCATATTGATATGATATTGTTTGTGTTCAAGTGTACTTTTCTTGTTAAGGACATTAAGATTATTTAAGATTTCTTGTATTAAGTGTTTTGACTTAGATTCTTCATTATATTTTTATATGGATAACAAAATTAATTGCTGCTTTGTAAATAATTATGAAGCTTGTTATAAACAATCATATACTAAAGAAAGAAATCTGATTGAAGATATTGACAGAAATGATCGTAAGCTACTTGAAAAACGAACAAATCTGAAACAAGAACAAATTACTAATATATGCACAGACCATCATGATATGTTAGTTGAAAGATATGAGGGTAATCAGAAAAAATGCTGTAATCCATTTCTAAGTCACCAAATGGTGTGTAGAGGTAAAAATTTATATATTTATATTTCATTAGGTAATATCATTATTAATAAGTCATATAAGTTTTTTTGGTAATAAGATTTGTTCAATGTTTCATAGTTATTAATATAACAAATTGTATAAAAATATAATTACATAATATATATAATTAATGTTATTTAAGTAATGTAGTTACTTTCTTTTTAAGCATCTCTACGTTTGATTACAATGCATACTGTATTAGAAGCAGAAACCATAGGTTTAAATCTTATACCTAGAAAAAAACTGTGTCTAACCTGTCAAAGTAAAGTTATGACATGTTTATCAAAAAGTATAAGTGAAAATAAAAATGATGAAGATTTTGATATTGTTAACAAAAAATCCATTCAAAATAAAAAAGAAAGTGTAGATACACACTTTGCATCTGCCGGAGTATCTCCAATTAAGGTCAAAGGACTGCACAAGTCAGGTAAAATCAGAGAAGGTAAACGAAAATTGACAGCATTAACAACCTCCATTAAAAAAAAGGTAGCCATTTCCCTTAATATATCAGAAGAAAGTTTTGAAGAACAGTCAAGTTTTAATAATGAGTATATGGAAAAAGCAAACTTGTTTGATAACATGATGGTATTGTTAACTAACAAAATTGCAGAGTCTACATCAACATCAAAAAAAGTACAACTTGCGACACTTGCTCCAACAGACTGGTCAATAAAAAAGGTATCTGAAACATTGCATGTAACAAACTATGTATCTCGAACTGCACGTAAGTTAACATTAGAAAAAGGTATTTTAACCATGTCTAATCCTAAATTAGGAAAAGTTCTTCCTGATGTAACAATTCAACTGGTCAAGACTTTTTACGAAGACGATGAACATAGCCGTTTAATGCCTGGTAAAAAGGATGCAAACTTTTTTGCATGTCCACATGCAAAAAAGTTTGCTCTTATGTAATTTTAAGGAATTTTTTGTTGCCTTTAAAACCAAGAACTCAGAAATAAAAATAGGATTTTCAAAGTTTTGCACCTTACGACCTAAATGATGTATTACTGTTGGTGCCTCAGGAACACAATCTGTATGCGTCTGTGCTATTTATCAGAATTTGAAACTGCTTTTACATCCTCTTGGTGTGACATACAAAGAATTGTTACCTTATATTGTCTGTGATATAACTAATAAAGACTGTATGATGAGGAAATATGAAAAATGCCCAGCAACTATGAATGCATTGGTTGAAAAACGTTATGATATACTTGGAGAATTTGAAGATGATGACGAGATTGAATTTGATCAATGGACAACAACAGATAGATCAAACTTGACACATAATAAAGAGTCAGTGTTTGAATGCATTGAACTAGTATGTAGAAAACTGGAAAAACTTGCACCACATTTGTATTTAGCAAAGAGTCAAGCATTATACCTGAGATCAAGAAAGGAAGATATGAATGAGGTAACAGCATTATTTCTCGGTAATTTTTCAGAAAACTATAAATTTGTAGTTCAGGATGAAGTGCAAAGCTTTCATTGGACAAATTTACAATGTACACTTGATCCAGTGATTATTTATTTCTAAAAAGAAGGCATTCTCAAGCAAAAATCCTATTGTATTATTTCGGATGATATGATCCATGATGTGAACATGGTTTATAAAACTATTGAGGTTGTTTGCAATGGTATAAAAACAAATTTGACTCAAAAAATATTGAATACTTTTCAGATGGGTATGCAGGTCAATATAAAAATTTCAAAAATATACCAAATCTTTGTTTCCATTGTGAAGATTTTGGTTTTACTGCTAAATGGAACTTTTTTGCAACTAGTCACGGTAAGCAATCTTGTGATGGGATAGGTGGTACAGTCAAACGTCTGGCAACACTAGCAAGTTTGCAAAGAGATATGGATAATCATATTTTATATTCACAAAAAATGTATAAATATTGCAATGAAAACATTGAAGGCATAAATTTCATATATATTTCATCAGAAGATTTAACTTTGGTGAGAGCCGCTCTTAAAGAACGATTGGATACTGCTAATACAATACCTGGAACACGTAGTTACTATCAGTTTGTACCACTTGGCCATCAAAAGATAAATTATTATTTTTTAATTATACCTTTTACCATATTTTAAAATACACGTATAACTTTTATTGATAAACTCAAATAGATATTAGATTTTTGCAGAATCATTATCAGAAATATTTGTATTTTATTTTATTTCCTCTGCATTTGCTATTTATGCATTTAATAAAACATGTTTGATAAGTAAAACGGAATAGTTGCATATGTTACTATTTTGTTTAGGTAGGCACTAAGCTATGCAGTGTTGATGAAGAATTTGCTTTAATTCATGACTTTAGAAATATCCAGATAACAAATGTAAACCTAGTACCAGGTAATTATGCCTGTGTTTCCTATGAGCAAAAGTGGTGAATAAGAGTCATTGAAGATATTAATTTAGAAGAAAAAGATGTGCTTGTAAAATTTATATGTTCTAATGGTCCTGCACGGTCGTTTAAATGGCCACCAAAGGAAAGCCAATGCTGGAATCCTGATGTCCTCATTATTTACAAAATTGAGGTACCGATAACAAAAACAGGACTTTGTTACTATTTAGCCAAAGAGGACTTAAAAAAATTATTTTCCTGAAGAAGTAAAGATTTTTATATTTATGAGTTTATTATGTCTTATCCATTCTTTTTTTAAATATTATGTTTTGTGAACCAACTTGTAAATAATGTGAATGTAAAGCATATATAAAATCACTAAAGTTTAGTATTAAAAAAAAAAAAATTATATGCGTTTAAATTTTGTAAATATTATATGAAAATGAAAAAGATAATAGTCACTAAATTTTTAGTTTCTAATTTGATTGATTGGTAAAAGGTGGGGTTATATTAAGTGTCTAATTTAAAAAATATTAAAAAATTTTGTGTCTATATCAAACATCAATAATTCATCAAGTAAATATAAGGCCAAAACAAAATTGGTTCGAAAAGTAGGTGTTGATCTTATTTTTAAGAAAATCGAAATTAAATTTTTTTTATATCAGTCAGATTTTTTCTATAGCTATAATTGTCAATGCCCTTTTTTCTCGGCGTTATAAAGTGTATTTTATGGATCTTAAAATAGACTACATTCCCTTGTTTTAACATATAAAAAACTACATTTTTCGGATTTAAAAGGTTTTAAACTCTTTTGGTACAAAGTTTCAGAATTGTGGCATCACTACAAGCACCACATTAAGGTGAAAGTAAACGGAATGATTATCGGCACTTCCCCCCCCCCCCCCCTCAGTTTTAGTCAAAATCAAGGAAACTTCAAATTGCTGTAAATTATAAACGGTAAGGAATTTTATGAAAAAAAAAATTACAATCTTTTCTAACATATGTCTACAAACTTTTGTGCCAAGTTTCAAAAGTTTTGGTGATATAAGGTGCAGATTTGTGTTTTTTTGTGTTTTTTGAGAAATTTTTACCCATTAATTAATATAGCCAATCCGATTGAAATATAATTTGAGATAAATTAGTAGAACTAAAACTCAAGTAAACTTGTACAAGTAAAGTAAACTTGTAGTAGACAAATTAATGGTGCCAGCTTTCTATGAGTAGTTTTAGATTTGAGAAATAGTAAGCGGCAGCTTATTATGTTTTTAAATTTTCAATGATCTTTAATCTAAAATTTGTTGGTGACATCTGACTGCTATCTTAGAGTTTTTTAAATATGATGGCGGCAGATCTACGATCTATTGTCATCTTTTTTTGTTGTTGTTTTTATATTATTATTTTTATTCGTATGGACAAACTATGTGGTAAACAAAACCTTATTTTTAGATTATTTTTTTGATTTTTCATAAATTATACAAAATATATTCAATACGCTGAAGTTTATTCCTAAGGTACAACATATAATTTTTTTTTGTTATCAAAGATCAGATGCCTCGTGATCAGTGTAAAAAAGCAGCACATAGCGGACTAGGAACAACAACTTCTTTTTTTTTTTGTTCTTTTATTACATTTTAAAAGATTACGTTAATACT